ACTGTCTGAAGGACATGGAAACTTTCACCATGTTCTGATCTTAATTTTTACAAATTGTTGATATTTTGATTTCCATAAGTTCACTAGTTCTTTCAGTTCTTTGCATGCTAAGTTGCTCGTATAAGGTGGTTCAAAAACAAGTGTTTCGTTTAATTACAATATATATTAAAAATGATTGATTGGTTTTTTAGAAAATTAAATCTCCTGACCAAGAAAATTAACTTATTTTAACACTGTATCTAAATTTGAAATTGGTACAGCAGTTTACAAAAGAGGGTAATAAACTAAAGATATTTAACGTTATGTTTCATTAAAGTTAAAACAAATAACATGAAGAACAAAATTTCTCTTATAAATATTATTTTCTTACTTATCAGTATTTTTCTCTTTATTATGAAAGTAATTTTAAATAATGTATTTGAAAAGTCATTGGTGTGTGCAAAGGAACCTGATTAAAAAAGGGAAGGGGGACCTTATTACTTAAGATAGTGTGTCTTTGAACTTGTATACTCCAATAATACAGGCCTTTCGTTTTAAAACCTTTAGCATTGTCAGTAAACACCTAACATCATGTATAAATATCTGAATAAAAATTATAGCACATTGAAAATCACTATTTAAAAATTAACTAAAATTAGTTCTTTTAGCAAGGATGTTGTAATGTTTTCATGACTAATCTACACAATATTAAGTACATGATGCTAACACTGGTGAAAAATGAACCTTTTTGGTTTTGATACATAATAATTTATAAGATTAGGCCTACAAGGGATCGAACTCTACTCGCTCTGATGGTAGGCCACGGTCCGGCATGGCCAGGTGGTTAGGGCGCTCGACTCGCAATCTGTGGATCCCAGGTTCAAATCCCCATCACACCAAACATGCTCGCCCTTTCAGCTGTGGGGGTGTTATAATGTGATGGTCAATCCCACTATTCATTGGTAAAAGAGTAGCTTAAGAGTTGGCGGTGGGTGGTGATGACTAGCTGCCTTCCCTCTAGTCTTACACTGCTAAATTAGGGACGGCTAGCGCAGATAGCCCTCGTGTAGCTTTACACGAAATTCATAACAAACAAACACAAGTGTTGTTCTGTTTTTAATAATCATTGAATATTTTTTTTAATTTGTTGGGTTTTGTCATTCACTTCAAAAAATATAACTAATAAATTCTTATTTGTAGATTTCAGAAGTTTAATTTTAAGTCAGTGAAGGCTAGTCGAAGTTCAACAATAAATCTGATTAGATTTGTAGTTTTTTACTTGTTTGTTTGGCAGTTAATTTCTAAGTAACATCTGTAGCTGAAGAAGAATGGGACCTGGCATGGCCTTGTGGTTAATACGATTGACTTGGCGTGGCCTTGTGGTTAGTACGATTGACCTGGCACGGCCTTGTGGTTAGTACGATTGACTTGCAACCTGAATAAAAACCTGCTGCTAAACAACCTCACCTTATTGGCCATGGGCACGTTATAACGTGACTGTCAGAATGGCCCAACATTTGGCAAAGTGTGCTACCGAACAGTTGTTCAAAATTAGTAATGGCAACAGATTTGTCTTAGTAGCTTTGTGATAAATAAATAAAGAAAGAAAACTATTGTAAATAAATATATTTTCGTACTCGGATGTTGTTGGCCTACTTTTTATGTAACCATCTCTTTCTTGTTTTCTGTTTGCATGATTACTTGAAGCTAATTCATAATGGTAGAAGTTGTTGTAACCAAAATAATTTATTAATCTGACACTAGAGGGAATACTATAGCAGTGAACTGAGGTATTTTAAGCAATATGCTATAACTGGTTGTCTGAAAGCTGTACGTCAATAAAAATAAAATTGATATAGGCATACTTTTAAAATGTACTCTTTGGTTGTTTTAAACTGTTGGATAAATTGTTTCTTTCTTTGAATTTCAGAAAGAACCAGGAATGAGGAAGAGACGGAAAAAAAAGGAAAGGGATGAAAACAAACCTAAACGACCACAGAGTGCGTACCTTCTGTGGCTGAACGAGAATCGTGAGGCAATCAAGAAAGAAAACCCTGGTATCTCCATCACAGAAATAACCAAGAAAGGTGGAGATATGTGGAAAGAACTAAAAGACAAATCGGTAATGACAAATAAATTAATAGCTGGGGGGGTGTTTACTGTAAGAGGGAACACAAAGCGTATTATAAACATAAGTATCAACCTCTCTATTTCAATTATAATTGAGAGTTAGACATTCCTAGTAAAGTTAAAAGTAACATCACTTAATTCTTTGCTGTTGCAGTGGTGCTAACTTGAAATGCATATGAGAAATGCTTGTTTTTTTATCACATGGTCTGTTTTATTCCACTAAATGAAAAATGGTACCATACAAAGGACTTCTTTGGTCATTATTCCTCAGTGGAATACTTTTGTTTCACTAAACCAGAACTACAAAACCCAAAGAAATTGTTTTACAACTGCTTTTCTGATTAAAACTTTAATAACATTGTTTTTAAAATACATTTTTAAAATAAAATAATCCAATTTATATAGTGAAAATATCACTTATTGATAAAATAAGTTTCATTTGTCATTGAAGTTAATTACTCTCTTCATTTTTGGTCTATGCTGTAATTCCACACCAGTAGAACTAAGGTTATAATGGCGAAGTTACATTAGTGTATTGAAAGAAACGAACATGGTAGCAACATAGATTTATGTGGAAGACGTTTGTGTACATCGTCTGTGTCACCAGGAGCATGACGATATCTAGCAGTTCCAACCTATTTTTCCATTCATATGTTTGTGAGTTTTAAGAACCAGATTGTTTATATAGATAAAAAGTGCACTTTCTAAATATTATTGTTACTAGAAAACCTACGTTCAAAACATTCAGAAGATGCCTATGAAGAATGTTTTGGGATTTATAAAAGAACTAAATGATAGTACGTACAAAATCTTAATCTATTTAAAGTATTTACGATTAAAGAAAGTAATAGAATATGTAAGCTTGCAGCTCTGTAGCTTGCCTTGATAAGTTTAATTTATATGAAAGGAAATTACAAGTAAAACTACACTGAAATAAGAAAAATTAGAAGCAAGAAATTGGGATTAATCACTGCAAATAAGAGAGTTTTATCAAACTGAATAGCTCTCATGTTTTTATTTTGGAGAGCAGGCTTATCCTTGTGGTTAGCATATGTGATTATGGATTATCTCTCTCAACACGGAGTCAGTCAATTTGACCGACCCCGTGACCTCTTTGTAGCCATTCAAAGTCTTTATAGATTTAATACTTGTAACTTTCAATATAGTGAGTATATCTTCACAAAATTTGGCAGTATTTCAATTAATATTATAAGTCTTTCACACACAAAAAATCGTATTTTTTTATTAAAATAAAATCAAAATTTGTCCATGAATA